AAGGCGTGGATCACTGTCTCGAAGTGCTGCCGTGAAAGAATTGGCTTTATTTTCGCTAGCTGCCTGAGGTGAAAGAAGCTAGATTTTACCACCGCCCTGATCTGATATTCAAACGTCAGATCACAGTCCACTTTGACCCCCAGGTTTGTGACAGTTGGCTTAACAAACTGGGCCAGGGAATCAACATACACATTGGGGGTCTCAGTAGGACTACCAAAAATCATCACCTCAGTCTTTTTATCATTGAATTTAAAAAAGTTAATAGGCATCCAAGCCTTTATGTCATCAAGACACTGAAGTAATGGCTGTATGCGGTATCCGCCTTTTTTCTGAAGAGGGACATAGATCTGACAGTCGTCAGCATACAAGTGGAAAGCAATGCCATGCTTACTCAGTATAGACCCGAGAGGAAGAAGATACAAAGAGAAGAAGAGAGGGCCAAGAACGGAGCCCTGCGGGACACCACACAAGAGAGGAGCAGAGGACGACACATAGTCACAGAGACTGACACAAAATGTTCGCCCTGCCAAGTAGGACCTGAACCACTCGAGAGTTGTGCCGCTAATGCCCACCCAGTGCTCCAAATGAGACAATAAAATGGCATGATCCACAGTATCAAAAGCAGCTGTCAAATCTAAAAGCACAAGAACAACACAGTCCCCAGCATCAGTAGCTAAGAATATTAGCCTAGTGAACTAGACCAAATTCTTGCTTTGCAAAGTTTGGTCTAGGCATGCTCCATTGGAACCTCTGCAGCTCCCACCAGGACTCTGGCTAGCCAATCACAGCTCTCTAGAGGGGTTTCAAACACATAAAGAGCTGTGATTGGTCCATAATGGTGGGCCAATCATAGTGCTCTATCTGCTTAGTGAACAAATCACAGAGCTTTATCCGCTTTGTGGGCCAATCAGGGCACTCTATCTGCCTGGTGGGTGGGATGATGCAACAGTGAAACAAGAGTATGTCACATTCATTGTCCAGTGGAATGCGGAGATCATTTGAAAGACAACGGTAGAACCCGCCCCACAACCGAGAGCCGTCAATGGAGCGTGGCCAGACTAAATAATACATTTATTTAGTCTGGCTTGCCAGGCTATAAGAATATGTCATTAAAAACTTTTAAAAGGGCTGATTCAGTGCTATGAAAGCGTTTAAAACCAGATTGGAAAACCTCTAATACATTTTGATTTTCCAAGAAGGCCAATATTTGGCTATAGACTATCTTTTCAAGAATTTTAGAAAGAAAAGGTAGTATGGAGATAGGCCTGTAATTCGCAAGATCTTGTGGATCAAGAGCAGTTTTTTTAATCAGAGGTTTGACTACTGCATGTTTAAAATCTTTAGGGACAACACCTGACATCAGACTATGGTTTACCAGCTTAAGACAAAGGTAAGTCGCTTTGAACATAACTTTCTAAACAAATTCCTTAGTACAGTTTTTGATTTGCATGTACAGCCAACCCATCTATATTAGCCTTGGTTAATTACAGATTTAATATTAAAAGTGATTTTTTTGTGTTTAAGGTCCTGCACTCACAACGACTGAATGAAACTGCATTACAGCCATGGGTCATTGTGAGCTCCAATGGGAGGGTTGAGGCTGCTCACTGCACATGCATGGCCAGAGTGGCAGAGACCTGCACCTATATAATTCATAATTTGTAAGAATGTAATCTGTGATATTAGCATTAGCATTCCTATGGGTTTTTCCACGTAAATTAGCATTGCGCTAACCACTCGCTGCCAAATTGCAGCCTTTGCGATTAGAAAATCTCCTTTTGTCACATCGCAATTTAATTGCACATGCACATAGGCGTCATTTTAACCGGGGACAAAATTTGTGATTGGCAGCTGTGTCCCCCCCCCCCCCCCCCCCCCCCCCAATTTCAAAAAAGCCTGCTGATGAGGATTTTTGTTTTACCAGCTCAGATCTTATACCAGGGGTCGGCAACCTGTTCCCATCAAAGAGCCATTATTACCCATTTCCCACAGTAAAGAAAACACCGCAGCAGCTGCGGCGTTGTGGGCGGGGCCTAGCCTCAGACAGCAGAGAGCTGCTCACAACAGGTGACAGCAGCCGGTATCGGTCGCTCGCATGGGCGTCGCACCCGTGGGGGATTCAACACCCACACTTTTCCAGCTGTTTTGCTCACCTCCACACCAGTCTGGTTTCTTTACGTCACACTCACTCTGTTTGCCTCATCTCCTTCTTCACCTCCCACTTCTGACAGCCGATGTCGGGTTTCCAGGAGAGCAGGAGAGGGAGGGACGGAAGAGCTTGACTGAATTCATAATTTTACATCTTGACATTAGCTGTACAAAGTCTGAGTTTGAGAAAGTGAAGAACAACAATTTGCAGAGGTTATAACAGGCGCGGCACCAGGTTTTCATTTTTGGGTGGGCCACGGTAATTTTGGACGGACCTTAATAAGCAGAGACTTAAGTGAAGCAGGCAGGTCGCGCTAGGAAATTTCGTTTAAAAAGACGTCATAAATGTGTTCCCCCGTCATTTTTATTTCTAAAATACGAAATAAAAACTCACAATTTAATTTTCATTCATTTGTCATTAATATGTAGTCTACACCCGTGCGTTAAGTGGACCATCTTCCAGTAAAAGCAAAGCATCCAGCCCACCTCTCCAAATGCGTAAAATGTGCATCAGCCGCTAGTTAGGCGCGCCGCGCGCACCGTCAGCTATCGGCCCAGACAAGAGCAGAGCAAATAGAGACAGAATAGAGGATAATTCTGTCTGGATGTGGATGGAGATTACATTTTACAGCAGCCTGATCATCATTTAAATACGTAAACCATCACCTGTCTTCTAGTCCATGCTATCAGCATTATTTTAATTGGTGTGTGTGTGTGTTCCACTTCCAACACTGGTCTAACCAACCAGACCAGCGTGTCCAGTAACATATTAATGTTACAATTAAACAGTTTCACTTCATGTAGACTAGGAACATTTCACCTGCCGTGGCCCGACCGCTTCTGCTCCACGTAAACTTTGTGCGTTATCAAATGTCTCTACAGGTGCTTTCTGAGCTGAAGAGGCTATTCTGCCTCAGACTGGATGCGTCATGCGTCTCCATATTAGAGACGGGAACAAGCGCTGTTCAGCCAAAGTTTCATAATTTCATAAAAATAACATTTTTCCAAGTGACACATCCCTCAGAGAGACCGGGTTTCCAGACCGCTTCAGTGGGAGGAAATCAACCAGCATCCTTGAGTTTATTAGTCAAAATAAACAGTCAAATGGAAATATCTGTAACCTGCCATTTAACTGTTTTGCCTTCTTGTGAAGATTGTTGCAAAGAGAAACAACTAAACTTGATTAACCCCAGAGCCACGCGCACTGCGCTGTACTTCTGACTGTAAATGAGGGGGAAACGATTTAATCGGATCCTTTTCTCTTCAACATGTAAAGTTTCATTCAGTACAGACTTTAGTTACACCAAACTAACGAGACAGATCCTGGATTTGTATTCTGAACAGTTTAAACATGTTTAAAACGGAGACATGCATGACGGGTCTAAAATTCGCACCTGCTCCGCTATTATGGAAATTGAACTAACAAGATGAATAACATGAACTTATTTTAGGCACAGACATCCCCCACACTTTTGAAAAGCTTGAAACACGCCTGGTCGCTCGTGTACGTCAAAGCTATCTTTCATAAGACGATAATCAATAAAACGATTTATATAAAATGGATCCAGAAGTTGTAGCCCGTCTCTGCTACATTTTTTGGTATTTTTCACCCTGTTGATGGTTTTACAGAGCAGGTGCCCCTTTTGTCATACGTTTCTTTTTAAAACATGTTTAGACTGTTCAGAATACAAATCCAGGCTCTGTCACGTTTGATTGTTGTAATTAAACTTTGTAGGTGGGGAAGGTCAGAAAGCAGCTCAGAAGCGCCTATGATTACGCACAAGCGTGACGCGTCAACCCGGTCTCACAGTAAGACCGGGTTGGACCTGTTCAGGTTTACGCAGACAATCTTTACATTTAGAATTGGCATACAGATGTAAAATTAATGCAGTAAAATATAAAGCATTTTATTTAAATATCCATTCATTATTTTACAAGCACAGAGAGCCGCATGAGATGGATGGAAGAGCCGCATGCGGCTCCAGAGCCGCGGGTTGCCGACCCCTGTGCTAGCCTACTTTATTGTCCCCAGCAATTTTTAAACCCCACTCAAGTGTATGGTTATTGTCCCCAGCAATTCTGAAAACAAACTGACGCCCTTGCACATGCAGTTAATCGTTCAGCCCTAATATACATGCAGCTCTATGCTAAAAGTGTATTTTCAAAGAGGTAATGATGGATTTCTTTGTAAAAGTTGTCCATCTTTCCAACAGAAAAATTTTCCTGGACCAACGTAACATGATAACAACGTAACGTGATTACGTAATTCCGTAAGGTTCATGTTCAGCCAATCAACTACTTTGACATCACCAGCAGTGGACGGACCCCGAGCTGATCTTGCACCCGAGCAGATCTTGTACAAACACCGGGTGTCGTCATTTAATCCCAGCCTTACAGCCCCACCCTTAGCTCCACCTCTCTTCCCTTTTGTGGAATTGTCTGGGCTTGACGGAACTTGTGACACGGTCAAAATGGCGGTGGTGGCCACCTCCCATTTTAGCACAATAACTTATCGGAGTCTATGGAAAGGAATTGTCCAGTATATTTATGTCGATGATTGTAATGAAGAAAAATAGTCTTGGAAAAAAAAATCACATGGTTCCCACAAAAACTCAATTGGCTAAACTCTAAATTTATTCAAACTGTAGTTACCCAATACTGAGTTTTATTTAAACTGTTCCAATCAAAATATATTTTCATGGTATATATATATATATATATATATATATATATATATATATATATATATATATATATATATATATATAAATAAATAAGGAAAATGACAAAATCATAGCAAAGTAAAATTTTCCTAAAATACCGAACTCACAAAAACCACATCACATACCAAATTTGACACTTTGCTGTTAAATTTATTGAATATTAACCTCAGTGATAACTTAACACTTTACCGTTTTACATTCAAATACAAGATCATGAGATTTGTTTTCCAAGTCTCAAAGCAAATGAAATGTGGCATGAACTGTTTTAACTCAGTTAACGTTTGTTACAGTTTTGGAACAATCTGAATACTGACAAAGGAAACCAAACAAACCTGCATTCATCTTTAAAAATGTCAAAGTACTTTTACCACAATGTTCAACCAAAAAATTCAAGTGAAGAAAATTTAGAGACAAACATCACATTTTTGCTGAAATTAACTACATTCCTTATGCCATCTTTAAATCTTACAAAGTCAAAGTTGAAGAATTAGGATGAGTACATAATATACATTTTACATAGCATTTTGGCTGAATAAACTAATGAAGGAATGTTTTCATCAACAGAAAACGAAAAGAAGGCAATAAACAGTCTCAGTGTCTACTGTTTTGGACCAGTTTGCTCCATCGCCTCATCATGCTCTTCTTTCTCTCCCTTCTGAGGAGCAAAAGGTCCTACCAGCCAGTTGAGTGGTGTGTTGTGCAGTAAATACTCCATGACACCATCCAGAGACTGCTGAACCTGGCAAAGACATTAAATTTAATCAAGTTTAATGAACAGTTAGGTTACTGTAACCTAATTTGTTCATCTCAAAGAATGCAAAGGTAATTATAGTTAAAGCTACAATGGCAAATTTGGAAAACAAATTAGCTTAAAACATTGTTTTCATGCCTCTTAACGTACTAACAACGTATAACTACAAATATATTGTGGAGATAAAAAAAAGACGTCTGGACGAAGAAAACAGCAACTGGTGTTTAGCACCATCTCGCTTCCCCGGCATCGCGGGTTTCTGGTTCTGGCAGAAGCTTGTGGCTCCTAAGGCTAGGTTAAAGTTAAGAGGGGACAGGGCGTTCTCTGTTGCGGGTCCAAAACTGGAACGCACTGCCCCAAACTATTAGAGACTCTCCATCAGTAGCAGTTTTTAAAATGAGGCTGAAAACCTACTTTTATGATCTGGCTTTGAATTCTGTGGGTTAGCAATTGTTAATGTCTATATTTTGTAATTCTCATTTGTGGTTTTAATTATGTGTGTAGCATTGTATGTTTTATTGTTTTACCCTTTTGTTGTACAGCACCTTGGTGGCATGCTCATGACTGTAGAGCCCTTTTCAGATTGACATTCTGGAACATTTGTGGACAATTCAATCCGGTTTTTAACCGGAACTGTGTTTTCAGACACACCACTTTTGTACCGGAACTTGTCCTTTCGGCTGCGTTCACACAGCAGGGAAAAGTTCCAGATGTCTGACGGCGGCGTCGGGGGGGGGGGGGGGTGGGGGAGTCGGGGGGGGGGGGGGGGGGGGGGGGGGAATCGGACTTATGTTAAGAAGAAGAAGAAAATATCATTTCTATAGCGCCTCTCAAGATAAAAATCACGAGGCGCTTAAGCATAATTCTGCGCACACGAAGACGCATAAGAGACCTGGATGATGAAGCTCAATGGTTAAAGGGAATCACTGAAGCAGTGTGAAGTGCTCCGTCGCGCGTCTAGACGGTACCGTAGGTGGTTCGCCGCATGCTACTGGAGCGAGCTATCTAGGTGCGCACAGCGTCCCCCGGTCCCCTCCCCCTTGTCCGGAACTCTACCCCACCAGTCTGAAGCAGCCACCCTGTCCGTAATAAGTCTGGACCTGTTACTAGGGGCTTCGTCCGGTTAAATTCCGGAACACATTATTCGGATGTTTGCATTCAGACACAAAGGTCTTATGGACAGATTCCGGAACATTTCCGTTTTTCATGGCCTGTCTGAAGGGGGCTTAAGGTGCTTTATAAATAAAGGCTGAGTTGAGTTGAGTCGAGAAGTGTCTATTCTAGATTTACTATAACAGCTTTAAATAGACATGTTGAAAGAACTTGATTTTTATGGTTGTAATAAACCAACAGAATGAGAACAACTAATCTCAGGGGTGTCTACCAAGAGTTTCTACACCAGAACGACTAATTGTGTTAAGTGATGCCTCACTTTAAAACAAGCTCAGAACTTGTTTTCACTACATTGGCATAGCAAAAGCAATGACTGGTACAATTAGGACCTGTTTCAAATGGTGGCGGCTTCCCTCCATAAGGTGGGGGGTGATGGTGCTTGCATTCCCCAGAGAGGACTGCAGCTCTTCGGCGGCTCGCCGTGCGCTGGCCAGCTGCTCCTGGACTGTACCCGGCAGACCCTGAGCACTTGAAACCACATTGGAGCATGCTGACCTCAGCTGGTCGCTCAGACCCCGGACCATAGAAAGGGCCCGCCATTCCAGTTGCTGTGAACAAGGAGTTGGAATAAAACACAAAAACTCAAACATTCATGATTCCACAGCTTAGCACAATTAAAAGTGACGTCATGATTTTCAGGAAAACTTCTCATAATATAATGAAAAAACAAAAAAATATATAAAACTGCAAATAAATCCAGAAAAGGTTAATTCCTGACCTCAGATTCGTGTTTGGACCCGTCTGGCTCTGATTCACTCTGACCCGCTCCTTCCTGTTTCTGCTTCCATTCGGTCCAGCTCTGATGCAGCTGCTCGGAGGCTCCTGCTAACTGATTACTGGCTGTGTCCAGACTGGCACGGGTGCTCTCCTCCACCAGGTCCAGTGTGTTGGTAATCTGAGCCACTAAAGTATACGTGGCATCCCTTGCTCTCCGTGCACGGACCAGGGAATGCTCCAGCGCCCTCTCCTGTACCTTGGCAGAGAGTTTCCCCAAACGAACGAAGTAGCTGGAGCTAGATGAAGAGGCAATCACCTCAGAGCTGGTGGGTTCAGCCACAGCAGCTGCAAAAAGGAAGGTGTCCGTTTATGAAAAATACCAATATTATTTATGGCACAACTGATTCAGAATGTTATAAACTTTAATATATAAAGTAAAAAAAAAATATGTATATATAAATATATATCTGTTGAATGTATGCAGCACGGGTTACGTTTGTTCTTTATAACACCTGGAAGTTTTGGATGTCCCCTTTTCCTTCTTGTTTAATTTTAACAGTGTGCTTCAAATCCAGAATTCTGTTTAAACATTTATCCTAAACCAAAACTCTCAGAAGCATGGTAGTCATTCTTTTAGTGAGTGTGTTGGTTATATCCACAGATATCCATGATGTGTAGATATTTTCTAACACCCTTTGAACTCATGCAGCTTTGAAGATCAACTTTACTCATATTTTTGGAGTAGGAACAACGTGTCTTAATGACCACGCACACACACACACGCACACACACACACGTTGCATGGCTATTCTAATTTGGAGGTAAAAATTTGACCACATTCTTTCCTAGTTTTTGATGACTCGTAGAAATTACTCTTCCTTTAAAACATAAGCATGTGAGTGGGTGAATGACTGGATGTGTATTTGGGAGGGTTGTAGAACCTAAAAGGCGCTACATTAAGAACTCTGGGCCCTTTTACCATTTAAATGGTATAAAATGTATTATTATTATTATTATTGGTATTTTTCTAATTTAAGTGAAATTAAATAAGAGTGTTGTAATTTATGACATAATGTACATTTAAGTGCTGCAATGACTTGTTTTTGCTGTTTTAATGATATTTTAGTGACATGTTTATTGCATTGGTTAGTGGTTATATCTATATGTTATTTATAGTCTCTGATGTATTTTCACAGCCTGCGATTCCCTGATGCCCCCTGAGCATTACTGCTTTAATGAAGCATGACAGCTTTTCACAATAGCATGACATCACAGTAGCAGGTGTCAAAGCTGTGTCCTGGAAATCGTAGGTGCTCCACAGGCCAAGTAAACAGAAGGCAGGTTCATTTGAATATCCTGCCATCCTAGAGTCTAACCGGTCATCATGTCTTCAGCTCACAGCACAGTGAAGCCTGTTTATACACCATTCCTGGGTTAAAGTCTCATTAAATACTGTTCAACCTTAATTTGCTGAATCTTTTCAGAACACCTCCATCTTGCCCTCAGGGGTACACTGATGATGCTTTCCTGATTTCGTGTGAATACTGACCCAGCTCCTTCTCAGTGAGCGGCAGGTGCTGGTCAACCCAGTCCTCCGATCGGCTGAGGGCCAGGCCCATCCCGCTGCTGACCATCTGGCCCATCCTTGTGCCCATGACTGTGTTGATACCTTCGCTGACCGCTGCCCGGGTCAGCTCAACACCACCCATCACAGCCCCCACCACGGCGTCTTTGGCTCCTGCCATCGACTGGTACACCATGTCTACTGTGTCTGACACCACCTGGGGGAGTAATGACAAAAAATAAAAAAGTTGGAAGCTGTTCTTTCAACCTAGTTCTTTTAGTGATCCAAATGTGATTTATGGTAATGAGATGTTTGAAGGTTGACATTATACAAATGCTATCAGAGGCTTTAGTAATAAAGCTATAATGCAAGTAATGAATGCAATACAACATGCAGTAAAAAGGTGAAGCTAAAGATCATCACCCCACCCTCCTCTGTGGGTTCTGCCTGACCTTATCAGCTGATTGGTGAAGAATCGGCAGCTTCTCTTCCATCTTATCCAGTCCTTTTAAAGCATACTCATTCACTGTGGCGACTGGAACAAGAGCACATAAGAAATGTGTTTGTAATTTCTAAATAATGCTAAGTTGGTGTGAGCACAGTGGGGGACGAACCTGTGTGTAAAACAGACTTATGTAACCAAAACAGGTCTTGTTTCACGTTTGCAGCTTGGAAACGGCTCTTAAGAGCTTCAAAGGATCTGGTTAATGACGTGGAAAATGTTCTTAGAGGATATTCGGAAACTACTATATTGCATTTTAGTCTGGCGGTTACAGGAGGACGTGGTCCTCATTTCACAACTTTTTTCTTTGCAACACACAAGTGATTTACTTTAATGTGACATTTCAGAGCTGGACATTTGTGCGCTGTGATTGCACTTGTGTTTCATCATGTTTTGCAGAGAAGAACTTACGCTGTGGTTCAATCATGTCCAGAATGGGCTTGGACCCCATGCTAGCTGCAGCTCCCAGGGTTCGGACTCCGCTCTCGGCCACATCCATCACTCCCTTCAGCAAGGGCACGTTGTCTTTGGTGCTACTGTAGGCAGTGGAAACCACCTCGCGGGCAGAGCTGACCAGGGGCAAGTTGCTCACACGTGAAACGACAGTCTAGGACAAGAGAACAAACTTCATATTCTCCTTAAACAGCAAAACACACATTTAGGTATTTTTAATTAGTCTGAGGTTTTAGCTAAATGTGTCCGTGTTCTTTACCTGCTGCTCTTCATTAGCTGCTTCTGTTGCTGCAGCTTCAGCCTCATTAGTCTTCATACTGTCTGCCATCGGGACTGCTGGACTCAATCTCTAAGATAAAACGCAGCGAGTCAGAAAATGAGATTCACCTCACCTTTTCTTTGAGCACATGATGAAACACAGCTTCCTCTCTGAAAGCCTTTGTTCAAATGTTAAAATACATTTTATCTTACAGGAAAGGCTGGCCTGTCAGACAGTTTTAATGTTCACAGAGAAAATAAAAGCAGCCATGGTAAATTCATTTGTCAAAAATATGATGCAACGAGGATGAAAATCATCTTGAACAACAAAACGGTGCTGCCACTGCAAACAGCTCAAGCCTCTGAAAATTGTCAGGAAAGTAAGGAAGTATTCAGAATTAGATTTTTTGGCTGCCTTGTCTGCAGCTTCATTTGTATTTTAAAAGCTAGGCTGCATTTCTAAGTTATAGAATCTAAAAATGAAAGTGTTCAGAGTTCGGCTGCACAAACAACTTATTGTCTTTATAAAGATGCTTATTGCAAACTTGATTAAAACAAAGATGAAAACTCTAGAACTGGGTCTTTAACCAAATAAAGTCTACGTTCAAAGAATAGGATGGAGTCTTGAGTAAAATCGTGAAAAATGGTAGCATCATCTGTTTCCAGCATAGATTTACTCTTGTGGAGTCATGCAGCCAAAGTCAACCCCTGATGTGATTCATCTCCATGTAAAGGGAAACAGTAAGAAACAGTGCAGCTCTAATATATAAAAACACTTTAAATGAGACCAGGACAGAAGAATTACCACAAAAGGACAGCCGTGAGTAAAATGTAGTGATTTATTGCATTAATATACATTTAAAGTGGGAATAAAAAACGTTGGTTCTCCTGCTTAACCATTGAATCACCAACAATTCTGTTCACAGTTAGCATTTCCATTTACTTTAAACTTGTACACCTCCAGGAAAAGAACTAACAAGATCCTAGCAGTCAAAGGTTTTCTGGACTGAATGTGGTCACAGTAGAAATATTTGACTCAAATTGATAAAGTTCCTATAGACATATAGTTGAGTTGAGTCCTTCACGTAAACGTGTCAATATTGGAATATTGTGATTCGATACGGAATTCCATTCCAATTGAGAAAGGTGGTTTTGTCCGATCATCATTCTGATTGACCTTCGTGTAAACACCCATTTGGATTGTTGGAGTAAAATAATGCCCTGTGCATGTGTGCAACTTCAGAGTGATTTCTTTCCACCTTTGCAGATGTTCAGGAGAAATAGAAAACATGGCGGGAGGTAAACAAAAGTGGTCCGTAATGGGAGAAAAAACACAAGTTAATAGACAAAGCTAGAGAATAAGAAAATAAAATGCGAGGGGAAAGATGTGCGGACAAGATGGCGTTGGTTTACAATTTTTTTTTTCTGAGAAAGACAACTCTGCGCACGCTCAACCTATTTAATCTGAATGCTTGGTGCATGAATACTCAGCATGATTCAGTGTTTCCCTTACATAGGCGTAGCTGTGGCGGCCCGCCACGGCTGAAATCCCACCGCCACGCCTACAAGATCCCAAGTTTTATTGTTTGTTTATTTAGTTTTATTTATTAATTTTTTTTGCGCCGTTTCCCGAAGAAGCAGCGGGAACTACTGTGTTGTTGCTTGTGATCACAGCCGGCAGGCAGCAAGGAGGAGGCAGGGCAGGGTGGTTACAGCTAGGGATGAGCGTAAGGATCAAGCATTTTTGACGAATACGAGCATGAAACGAGTAAAACTCGTAAATATCTGTAATCGTGCTGAAGGAAAATCCTCATTGGGTAACTGACTGTCTTCACGCTCTGTGATTGGCCAGTCACATAGAGCGCCCGCCCCTCCCTACACACAAAACTCTGCAGCCGGGATGGGAGCTCAGTCCGCTCGGCCCAGGCATCCACGCGCGCACACACACAGACAGTAACGGATCTCTCTGTGCTTGCTTCACTGTAGCCCACTTTTCTTCAGAACTCCCTAGGTTTTCTTCAGCTCGCCTCTTTTTCAGTTGAATATTTAAAGTTACTTTTTTCGTAACGTACGTGGTGCATTTGACAAGACAGAGCTGAAAACGGCTCGTGCATGCGTCAGTCACTGCCTCCGCTCCGGTCGGGTTTAAAAAAAAATTATTTTAACTCTCTCTCCCCCTTTCTCTCTGTCTCACACACACCTTAATCAACATTGTTTTGTTTGACTGTGTGTGGGGGAAAATGCCAACAACGTTAGGAAAAAATCAGTTTAATCAAATTAAAATAAAATAAAAAGTTGTCTGGTTCTAGTATTTCATATTTCCTAGTTCCTACTGCATGAGTTCAGATGTATTAATTCATGCACTTAAACATTAATGTTCTGATTTTACTGAAAAACTTGTTCTGTAATAGTTCCTTTACTATTGTGATCAAACATATTTTATCTCAGTTCTGAGGCTGCTCTGTAAATAGTTTTCAAATAAACAATAGTTTATAAATAAACAACTTCTGATCAATCCATATCAATTTCAGATTTAAAATAATGTATTGATGTAAACCACACCCACTAATTTCCAAAAGGTGCATTCATCTGTGTATCTCCTTTGATCCACATTAGTAATATTTTCAGCACCAGAACAAAGAAACAGATTCCTGAGTTTATGTTAGTAATTTTATTTATTAGGTGCATCTGACAAGTTCTATTTTTCTCTGAAATGAGATCAAATCAGTGCTTCTATGGGTTGTCTCCTCTCTGCACTAGAAAAATTTACTTTATTAAAATGTTCACTGTAATGCATCTTGATGTTCTTAATAAATAAATTAAATCAAAGATATTGGTCAATAATGCCAAATATGTATATTTGTGTTTCAGTCATTTTTATACTGACTTAAAAATGCTTCACTAATTCTACTAAGCAGGGGTGTAGAACGTTTTTAATAGGGCCAGCCCAGTAATGATCTTGGATCAAAATAAAAGGGGCAAAAAGTCAAATAAAGGGGGGGCAGAAGGAGATGTTTTTCCAGATGCCAAGAAAAGTTAAATGCCAAATCCCCCCTGCAAAGTGTGTCACTGAGAGTTTAAAACAGAAATTATTCTTGTGCAAATATTGGTGTATTCACCTTTAATACTAGTTATTAAAATGCAGCAGTTGCTGGATTGGTGCAGTTCAAAGTGGAGTGCATCAAATAAAACAATATTAACATAAAGGTGAGACGTGTCCTAATTTCAAAACCCACCCCCACCACCACCACCACAGCTGGAAAAATTCCTAGGGGAAACACTGTGATTGGATCATTTCAGTTAGTGTCCATGTAAACAAATATTTGGGACTTTCGATCAACCAAGATTGGAATCAGATAGGGGAAATTTGTTGCATTTGGCGTGGCTTCATGAAGCATGGGTAGAGGAACGTCATTAGCAATAATAAACTGGAGTGGTTAACTTGTCAAGTGTTTGTCATTCAACAAATTGTGATGAATACATTCGGTTTCATTCTGATTCAGAATCGAAAAGATTTAGATCAGTGATTTTTGTGGGCAGCAGTAGTTCAGGAGGTAGAGCGGGTTGTCCAGTAATCAGAAGGTTGCAGGTTTGATCCCGGCTCCCGCCAGAGAATGCTGCTATTGTGTCCTTGCGCAAGGCACTTAACCCGCCTTGCCGGCTGGTGGTGTTTGGGGGGGACCGTTGGCGCCAGTGTTCAGCAGACCTCGCCTCTGTCAGATTGCCCCAGGGCAGATAGCTCATACCAACAAGCGTGTGAAGGTGGGTGTGAATGGGTGAATGCCTGACTGTGAAAGACCTTGGGGGGGGGTTGTAGATCCCTAAGAAGGTGCTATAAAATACAGGCCACTTTGCAGCAGGAATTTCAGTCAAAAGCAGATAGATTTTAGAGTGGTTAATCTCTTTAGATTTGATACAAAACCATGTCAGTCTACAGTGCTTCTTAAAAAGTTGTCAGCTGCACATTGAAGCACATTGAAACAGAGACACAAGATCTTCTGTCAGTGGAAATATTGAACACAAACTCATAGAAATATAAGGCAGTCTGGGACACCTCCTACACATCAGAATGTGGGTGTTCAAGCTGATCCAGTGTTGGTTCACCTCTAAACCAGTAAAGAGGGTAATCACAAAGCCAAGGGTCAAGAATCCTCTCAAACTCTGGAATTTTAATGTTGTTAAATAGTTTATTTGAATACAAAGCAAAGTTTTATTTGCACTCTGATACCGAGTGTAATCTGATTCATTAACACGATCAGCAGTTGTGACTCATCTACAGCTGACTGTTGCTCGGCAATCCAATCAGACACAACCACAAATGAGATGCTAAGCCTACGTAGTGTTTCTGGGAGCTCTTAGTTTTCCTTTTCCCCTCAGCAAACCGTACAAGCTGTTTGGTCAGCAACCGCCCAACGTAAGAACCAGAGGTGAATCACAGCCTTTTGTTTATTCTAGTAGCCAAGATACTCCTTTCTATAATTTCTGATTTAAGTGATTTGCAATAAGCGGGTTTTAAGAACCGTCTTGCTTCCCTCCAGTGCTCAGAACATGTGGATGACATCTGTTTTTCTTCCACCAGATGGCACACAAATCATAAATGGACTCCACCTGTCCTTACTGTTAACAAGTGTTCCACAAGCTGGAGCTGATATTTACAACACGTGAGCTGCTGGAAGACATGAGCTCTGGGATGCTTCAGCTGGAGAAATGACCACCAGTACCACAAAAAACACCTGGAACTAGGCTTGAGGTCCAATATGTTATTTTAATTCTACCTGATGGGAGAAACTGCTCTGAAAGACAAAACTGAGCTAAAAGGTTTATGTAGCTAAGCTGTTTAATAATTTCATACACCCAGGATGTAAAAATGAATAATCAAATACTTTTCCTAGTGTTTTTATGAACTCTGGTGTTCCAGACGTATTCCAGGCTGTGTGTGGTGGAAGATTACAGTTTGTTGCAACAGCTTGTTTGAGCAACACGCTTTCTTCCAGTTGCCAGTGGGTGACATCTTCACAGACTTTATTACAAAGCAAAGTCCGACTATCTAGGATGAAGACCAACACGAGATAACCCTGCCATAATTTAGACCTGGGTGAATCACAAATGATCACCTGAGCCACAACTGAATCCCAAAAAGCAATCACGAAAATCGTGCCTAGCTGATTCCTGTTGCATCATCCAAAAAACATGTCTCAAAAGAAGCAAAGTGCATTTCCTTTTAAATTAAATCTCACAACGATCTTTGACATCAATTGCAAACTATTAGGACCCTTCACCAGAAGATGTCTTTCTCAGCAGATAAGCTGATGATAAAAATTAAAATTATAACTAGTTTTGCTAAAACTACTTATATCTCCCACTGGTTTTTCTTAAAAGAGATTTAAAAAAGCCAAATGTGGATTTAACAAGGAACAATGAAATTAATAATGAGGGCAAAGGTTAGGCTTTGGAAAGTAAAAGTATGGCATACTTTTTATCTGAAAAGCACTTAATGAGTGGCCTCAAGCAGCTGAGATAAATCTGAGGGATCAGAGGATTAATAAAGTGATGTAATACCTCCTACTCTGTGAGATCGGAGTTTGACACTTTCCAAGCAAAAATAATGTTTCCCTTAACTCACTTATAAAATTTGAGGGGCAAAAAAAGGCTTAATTACTCAAAGTTCATGACCACAGCTGGAAATTAAATGTTTAAATAGGCTCAGATTAAATTTAAATCACCAATCACAGCCTGGCTCATTGTCATTATGTGTAAATGGAATAAAACGATGGTCTGGTAAAACGCCACTCTGAGCTACACCCCTTCACTCTGGTTGTGAACTTTGGCCCATATAAAGAAACAGGACTTATTACTCCGTTTGGCAACAATTAATCATTTGAAACATTTCATTTTAGTTCAACAAAACCTCAATTCCAGTATTACGAGGTCAGGAAGAGTTACCATACTTACTTCACCACTAAAGAGCCCAGTTTGTTTAAATAGCCAGTGTTGTTTAGGTTAGCTTAGCGTCATGTGGAGTAAAAGTTAGGGGGACTTCCCCTGAAAACACAAGCGAGGAGTTAAAATAAACTCTTACCTGAACGTCTGCCTGCTGACTTTCTGTCCTGCTGTAACCCGGAGTCACTTCTGGTGGTCAATGACCGCTGCAGCCTACAATGAAGCGTCTACAGTGGTTGAGAAACAAGTCATAGTTAAGGGCGGGGCCTCTTATCAACTTTCAACCAATTAAATCACAACCCGGAAGTGGGATTGGTAGGATTTTTTTTCAAACATAACTTTATTGACAATGAATATACATTTATCAAATAAATAAATAAATAAAAGAAGTAAATGAGAAGACGATAAATTGAACATTTAGTTACAGATAAAGTGTTATAAATAGAAGCATAAGGGACAAAGAGGAAAACTACTGAAATTTGAAGCAAAAAAAAATTTTTTAATGGTAGAATAATGCTATAATACTTTGGTATACCGAGTGAGCTTTTAAGCGTTCTTATTTAACTCAGTCATGGTTTTCATTGATCCACACTTGTGTAGAAAGAATGTGACCTAAATTATTAAATCATTTCTAAATGTTATAGAGGAGAAAATAATAGAATAGAGTTTATTAATCCCACAGTGGGGAAATTAATTTAGCAGCACAAACACTTGGAGAAAAGGAAGAGGAAAAATAACAACTTAATATTTCTATATCATTTGAAGCTCGAATTCGACAACACACACACACACACACACACACACACACACACACACACACACACACACACACACACACACACACACACACACACACACACACACAATCTTGTATTTGTATCCATATTAGGACTTTGTATTGGCTTCCATTCATTTTAGTAACTGCATTTATCGCCCTGCCGTCTAAACCACAACCAACCATCCCAGTTAGTGGTGACCACAGCTTTAGTAAAGCAATTAATGTCAAAAAAACAAAATGGCAATAACCCACTAATTAACTATGCAGAATTTGAGAAACAAAACACAGATCGTAAAACCAAGATGGAGATTTTTTACTCCATGAAGAAGAAATCGGATGAGGTGTTTGCACAGCTGGAGGAGAAATCTCTCTGTGTAAAACTGGAAGAATGTTTTAACAAAGAAAAGTTAGACCAATAAGTCTCCATGATAACAACTCTCCACCTAAAGAGGACCGTCCACAGACAGTCAGACTCCAGAAGAGTGTTCCTATGTATGTGGAGACGCTTTAAAAAGTGTATGACTCCAGCGCGTCGACGGAAACACAAAACCATGTCATAAACAGATCATGCGACTGGTTGAACACCCCCCATCCCACCCAACAAACGTATAGAATAATGGGGCTGCAGGCGTGTTGTATCTGGCAGTCATAGAGCTTCAGCTAGCATGTGTGACAGTGTGAACGTCCTGCCACAGTGTCCCGATTGATCATGCGCCCTGGCTACTTGGCCAAGGGGATGTCCCTTTGGCTGACTGGTTAGCGCGCGTGACTCTCACCTGGGAGTCTGGGGATGGAATCCTGCCCGGGCCTCTAGTTTCTCCACCTTGCCACATTTGGCGTCACGAACCTGATCCATGTAGTACTGTCAAGTAGGTCCATGGATGTGAAACTTGTGGCATCCTGCGTGGGAGCACGAGGACGTGCTTGTGGAAAGAGGGGGAAGATGTGACAGCGTGAGCGTCCTGTCACTGTGTCCCGATTGATCATGCGGCCTGGCTTCTTGGCCAAGGGGATGTCCCCTTGGTTGATTGGTTAGCACGCATGACTCTCACCTGGAGTCTGGGGATCGAATCCCGCCCGGGCCCTCGTTTCTCCACCTTGCCACACATGGAACATGATTAGAAACCAGGCAGCCCAAAAACATCACGTCTGTGACCGAGTCAATATAACCTGAGAAGTATAAATCCCTCCCCCCCAATCCTAATCTCAGACGCTGCCCCAGACCCGGAAGAAGATGAAAGATTGCTCCAATCTTTATGCTCCTAGCAAATTTCCCCTTTCACTTAAAATTAACCCTTTCCCCCCCAGTTTACTGATTAGAGGTTTTCTTACAGGCACACAGCTGTTCAGTCCCAAGCCCTTGAGTTCCCTTCACATTGTGCGTGTGGAAATGCTCTTTCACTACTAAACATAGAGTTTTGCTGTTATTCTTATATTTGATTTCACCAAACATTAAAGTCATCGTTGAACACAACCCTTTGGGATTATTTTTACGGCCACATTTAATCCTCAAAGCCGATGGTTCCCTACTATCCTTTCAGTTTTTAAAATGCGTTGGACAGTTCTGAACCCAATTTTAGTTATTTCTGCCATCTCCTTAGATGTTTTCTCTGCTTGATGCATGCCAATGATCTGACCCTTCTCAAACTGACTAACATCTTTTCCACAACCACCAGACGTATCTTTAGATGTGGTTCTTAAGAAATGAGAAGAAACTCAATGCACCAGACGGGGTTAAATAACTTGTTGTAGATGAAAGATAATCGCCCATGGAGAAATTATCCAAGAGGAGGCTCCTACCTGTTTGCTTAGTTAAATCCAGGTGGAGACTTTTTGACAGGCAGTTTATGTTTAATGAGAATTCTACTGTAGTTAACAATTGTCCAGAAACTATTTACAACATGACAGTCAAGAAGAGATCTTCTGGTGTTTCAGCATCATATTGCATGAGGAGCAGGAATTAGTGTTTAAGTCGTTTTTAATGCACAAAGCCACCAAAATAAACGTTTTACTGTAAGGCAGGATATTCTAGTAATTAGACACATCTGATTGTATCTGGCATGGAGGCTTAATTGCGTGTGATTTGCGTTGTTTTGATATTTATTTGATTCTGAAACATGTGGTTAGTCTTTTGCTGAATTTGGTCACTCAGAAGAAAACACAACTTTGAAGTTTCAGGTTTGTTGGAGCATGTCCCCTCATGGGGACCTCACTGGCATTACTCCATCTGAATGTGCTCACTCTTTTAAATAGATCTTGTCCTAGTTTGTTTACATCCCAGTAGCTTCCCTGTCATACTTTAAGATGACACCTCAGACAGTAAAAACATCAAACAGATTGATCTTTTTGACAGCTTTACCCTGTGTACGCAGCTTAAGTTATTTTTATCTGTTAAACATCAGTTGTTTGGTAACAACTGAGCAGCATCTATTGAAAAAGCAAAATCCCTCACCATTTGAAATGTTCCAGATTTGGCAGGCAGCTATTTTTCATCCCAGCAAAACCCTCCATGCAGCACAATATCTCAATCCGAAATGACTTTCTATCTCTGGCTCCTTCAAAAGCAGTTCGAAATCTGGGTGTCATGGTCTGCGTCTGCGTCTTTCCCCATGTGTCTCCTAATGTTTCTCCATCCCTCTCTAGATTCCCTTTTGTGTTCTCTTAGCGCCCTCATTCAATTCAAATTCAATTCAAAAATACTTTATTAATCCCAGAGGGAAATTGATTGTCCTTTGTCTGCATCTCTGTTATGTGTCTTAAGTTGTAGCCCTTTAAAATCATTCCTCCCAGGTCCTGTGTCATCCAGTCATCCTCAGCCCCTCTGGTTGTAGCTCCAGCCTCTTGTTCCCCAGCTCAGTATATGTGTGTGTGAGTTTATGTGTGTGTCAGTATGTGTGTGTGTGTGTGTGTGTGTGTGTGTGTGTGTGTGTGTGTTTGTTTGTCCTTCCCAGTCAGGTCTGGTGTCCTGCTCTGCTCCTCTCATTAGTGATTTCACCTGTGCCAGTTCTCCACACACCTGCTCCTCCTATCACTCCAGCCCCAGTGTATAAAGCCTCTCCTTGCCTCATTGTTCTTGTCGGTCCATTGTATGTTTGTCAGCATTGTTTCGTGCTCTATGTGAGCTTATGTCTCCAGGTTTTGGTGCTCTCAGTGAGCTTTTGTTCTTGTTACCAGGAATTTAGGATTTTTGGACTTTTGGCTCGCTGCCTGTGGATTTATTTTTGTTCGTCCTGCAAGATAAAGCATATTTACTTTACATCATCTCCAGCCTCTTGTCTTCTGGGTATCTGCACTTTGGGTCCTAACCTTCCCCTCAACGTGACACTGGGTGTTGTGATGAACACCTGAGCTTTAAAGATCATGTTGCCTCTGTTGCTCGTTCATGCCGCTTTGCGCTGTATAACATACGAAAGATCAGACCATACCTAACACAACATGCCACCCAGCTCCTGGTGTAGTCTACTGTCATCTCCCGCCTCGATTACTGCAATGCCCTCCTAACTGGTCTTCCAGCCTGTACTGTGAGACCTCTTCAAATGGTCCAGAACGCAGCGGCGCGTTTGGTCTTCAACCAGCCAAAAGGAGCACATGTCACCCCTCTGTTCATTGAGCTCCACTGGCTACCACTAGCAGCACGCATCAAATTCAAATTTTTAACACTAGCATACAAAGTCCGAGATGGTACGGCTCCCATCTACCTGAATCCTCTTGCAAAGGCTTACGTCTCGGCCCGGCCACTCCGGTCATCACAGGATCGTCGGCTAGCAGTGCCTACACCACGCTCAGGACAATCCAGACTCTTCTCATGCATCGTTCCACAAATGTGGAATGACCTTCCAAGCACTACAAGAACAGGGGCTTCCTTTTCCATTTTCAAGAAACTCATGAAGACCCTGCTCTCCAGAGAACATCTTCTTAACTAGCACCTTGCCTGCACCCATCCCCCCTCTACTGTCCGCTCCTTGTTTCCTCCTCTCCATGATTGATGTCAATGTTGTTGTTAGCCTCAAGGGCAATATGCTGATTATCACTTGTAAGTCGCTTTGGACAAAAGCGTCTGCTAAATACATAAACATAAACATTTGGTAGAATGGCCTCTCTATAAACATTATTAAATGACTATATTAATGATTAAACACAACTGTCAGACTCACGAGCTTTGTGATAAACAAACATCTCTTTTATTGCAATTTAATTTTTGCAGACCCAGCATCGCTGGCCTTATTACTTCAGACAAAACAGCATTGTACAAAAAAGAAAATCTGATTTACCCTGAGGATATAACACCCAAACACAAAATGAAGCTCAGTGGTGCAAGAAAGCAGCACAAAGACCTGATAGAGGAGACTTTCAGGTCAGGACTCAGCAGTCAAACCAAATCTGAAGTATAATGGAGTTTCTTTTGTGGGCAGTAATGTAACAAATGAAAGAACCCATCTTAGATTAGCTGGAAAGGCCACCTCTGAGC